CCAAGCTGCTTGGCAATGGTCTTGTAGCCCATTCCAGCCTTGTGTAGGTCTACAATCGTGTCCCTGACATCCTTGGAGAGCTCTTTGGTCTTGGCCATGGTGTAGAGTTTGGAATCTGATTGATTGATTGCTTCTGTGGACAGGTGCCTTTTATACAGGTAACAAGCTGAGATTAGGAGCACTGCCTTTAAGAGTGTGCTCCTAATCTCAGCTCATTACCTGTAAAAAAGACACCTGGGAGCCAGAAATCTTTCTGATTGAGAGAGGCTCAAATACTTATTTCCCTCATTAAAATGCAAATCAATTTATAACATTTTTGACATGCGTTTTTCTGGATTTTGTTGTTAATTTGTCTCTCACTATTCAAATAAACCTACCATTAAAATTATAGACTGATCATTTCTTTGTCAGTGGACAAACGTACATAATCAGCAGGGGATCAAATACTTTTTTCCTTCACTGTAAGCTGGACCCAAAGATTGACCGAAATAGACATAAGAAAAAGGTTTCACACAGAAGAGGACCTGATGCAGGCAGTGATGAGAAGGAAACTGGCACTATTTGGACACATGTACAACAGGAAAATTAAAAGTGTGTTGTTTGGAAAAATTAAGGGGACCAGAAAGAGTGGAAGAACTATCAGAGAATGGCTTGATGACTACAAGAGAGATTGGTGGCAAAACGATGTTGTACTACTTGAGCATATTGGCACAAGACAGAGGAAAGTGCAGCGGACACCTTCAGGCTATCAGCCCACGGACCGTGATGATGATACACAAATATATTGTACATGGTCGTGGCGGTGTTTGACCATACTTTACCATGCTGGTCAGTGTGGTCTCGTGTACGGGGGTGACCTAGGACTGGTTCCGATCTCGCTTGCCACTGATGTTAGCCGTGAAGTCAGGTCACCAGATTCTAATTTGCAGTGCGTGAACCACAGCACCACCGCTGCACCCCGAAACATCGAATACGCACCTCCGATTAGCACAGTTGTCTATGTACGGCGCGAAAGAAGTTCAACATACATACATACATGCGTGCATACATATACATTGATGGTGGTCCCCACGGGTGGTGCCCATCTCCAACAGTCGATCGATGGGTTCATAGCAAAATGCGATAACTGCGAAATCACCGCTCCACCCCTAACCACTGAGGCCCAATTAAGGACAATCTTTCTCGAATGTGAAATAAGTGTTTAATCATTTCTAAGAGCATCCATAGCGTCGGACATTTTTAGTGCCCTACATTATTTTTTTCTTATATAGAGAGAGAGCTTATGTTAATGTCACGTGTGTGAAATTTTACATTGCATACGTGTATAAATTCTTGGTAACTTCGGAACATTTCTCATTACAGCATGGGTTATGTGCTTCTCGGTTTGGTTTTATGTTAGGCATTAAACTCAGACTTCTTATTTTAGGCTTTAATCATAGCTTCCTTGCAAAGATTTTACTATCTGAGCATGGTCTATAAGAAGTGTGCATGCATAGCGTTTATCACCTTGGTGAATTTTTAATGCTTAGCATTTGAACACACCCGCGTGGGATATGTGTAAAGTAGATACGCTGAGGTGCACGTTATTTTTTTACGAAAGGTTTTGTGGCAGGTAAACATAAGAGTCTTTTCATCTGATTCACGGCAGGACTAATGCTGCAACCAACACTGTGCTCATAAACTGTAGTCCGGTCGGCCGTAACAATCAGTGCTTTTAAGACTGGACTAAATACTCATTCTACGTGACTTTACCGAAAGAACCAAAGAAGATGGACTAAATACGTTATTCATCTAGATTTGAAGTTTTCGTGACTGCAGGAATCCATACTCTTTGGTTCTTTCGGTAAAGTCACGTAGCTATAAAATAAAATAAATCACGACGTTTCGATCGCAACACAAGCAAGCGGTCGTCCTCAGGCGGAAAAAAATATCATCCAGCAGTGGAACTACTGGACCAGCGGTAGTAAAATTCCTCATTTCACGTGTTTGCTTTTAAATGAGATACGTTATAGATATGCCATTTACTAAAAATGAGTTTACACATGAGTTTATACTTTCTGCGCCTTTTATAATTTTAAAATATATATATCAAGAATATTGCATTTAAATTTGAGTATTTTGCAAGGAATATGACTCTTCCTAAAGAATAACACTTATTTCTTCATTCAAAGAAATTGCAATACATTCACTCAGCCAGCCCAAGTGACATTTAGCAAAAACAATACCCAGGCCTCTGTTGCGCAGTAATGTTGACAAATGTGATATTTAATATTGTCCATAAAGCTCAGGATCTATATGAGACGTTAAATACTTCTAGTTGAACACGTTTATTACTTTCACAGTCGTGCAACAGTAAATCGCATTGCCTCCTAAAGTCCCCTTTTTATGTAACCTTATTTACGTGTCGCCCAACATGTTTGACATTTTTTTATTTCAATAAAGGGAGGTGTTTTTTTTTCAATTATGAGGCGCACGTAATTGATAGGGCGTTGACGGAGGCATCGCGGACTAAAAAGGTGTTATATATTGGAAACACATTGTTATTATTTTGCATAACGTAAAAATATATATGCTGAGCAAAAAAATAAATAACTGTGAGAGGGACACAACTGAAGGTCACCATCCACTATTGTATTCCTAGGGAAATTACTGAAAGCACACTGGGATAGAGAGAAAATCTAGAGCAGGTTAGAGTGCATTTGGGAACTTAAAGTTTATTAAGAAGAGCCAGCATAGCAGTGCATATTACCTGCCATGATTTATGAATCAGAAAATTGAACAAAAAATGAAAAGTATGCTAAGAGGCATGGAGAGACACATGCTTATAATTAGTGAGAGACAAGAAAACTAAGTGGGTTTGGGCAAAACGCATCACTAAAAGAGATGATATCTGATGGATAAGACTGATAATGGTAGCCAGAGGAGGGAATCGCACCCAAAACGACGACCACCATGTGGATGGATCGATCAGATCAGCTCATGCGCAGCTACAGCATGGTTGGCTATGTTCGGTGTGAAAACAGTTGAACATACAAGATAGGTGTGTGATTGCAGACCATGAAGGATGGTGATGACAAAATGCATTGTATTCATTTTTGTAGGATGCCGAATTACAATATTCGCTCAATTTAGTTTTGCAAAGGGTTTTTTTGTACCAACCTGAGACAATTTATGCCAATGCATAATTGCACATAAATCCTTATGGACCACTTTCAGAGCTTGGACTTTAATTCACTCCAAATAACTCGGAGATTGAGTAGCTCATCTTCGTATAGAGCCACCATGGGAATGTAAAAATGTAATGCACAGTAGGAGTTAGCGCAGGGTAATTGTGCGGCTTTACTACCATGCCCAGCTTCTCTTAACCTCAGCAAATTACTTTCACATCCTAGGATTTTTTTTTACTAAATCAGGTTGTGCAGATATGAATGCCTAATTGTACGAGACACCCTGGTAAGTTTTTGAAATTGTGTTGGGTGTTGTGATTGAGCACATGCTGAAGACACTGTTTGCTCATTTCCTCCACCACAGGGTAAATCAGATTTTTGATTAAGTTGAAATGTGGCTAATTTGTATGTCGGCCTTGTATTCACAATATGCCTACATTTTGGGAAAGGAGCAGTAACAGTTTTGTTGTCAGTATTTATTGTGTATTTAGAGATCTGTTTTGGATATGTTTTGTCATGGGTTAAGTTGTATTGGAAAATTTCTGCAGATAATAGGAACTTTTTCACAGGTTAAATCTAAATATAAAAAAATTCCACATTTAAATGATATTCACAATTCTCAGTAAGTAGAAACGTAAAATTGGAAGTGGACTTTCATTAAAAATTAGTTAATTAAATCAAAAGCCTATGCTTTTAAGATATTACAAAGCTGGAAATTAAAAAAATAGAGGTTTACATAATCATAAAACACCAGAGCTATTCACCATTTAGGTTCATTATTTTGTACTTACTATCCACTTAAAATGAAACATTATTTAGCAAGCATATATAATATGTATATGATAAATGTGTACATGTATGCATGGCTGTACTAAAACAATATATTGTATTCGAATTTAAACAGATTGTAATTGCAAGAATATGCAGCAGTATGTTGTATTTTTCAAGGTCGCTAGCAAGTGCTAAATATTGTTGAAGCTGTTATTGTTGTGAATGTTCTGTGATGAATCTTGTTGAAGACATTCAAGCAACTTGTAAAACATAGATATTTAATATGCATTATATAAAAATGTCATATAAATGCAATATTGCCATAAGGCCACATTTTCAGCATTATATTGTATGAAGTTCTATTTGGCCTTTAAACATTTATAATTTTGCCCCCAAAATGCATGATGGCAGTGCAAATTGTTATAATATATTTTGAACCTACTAACTAAAATTTAACAATTATAGGCAATCTGATCATTTGAATTTGGCGATGCTTCCTTCATTCCTTTGTACTCTTAATAATAGTGTACATAGATGCAGTTAACCTACCTTTTTACCAATACTTTAGTTATAAACTATTTTCTCGTGGTAAAATTTAATTATATGTTTATATTCAACAAGAACAACCATTTTAAAGTTGCTCATAAGACCGACGATAATCTCCAACCATAAACATTAAATGTTAATATAAAATGCAGTATGCAAGGCAGTAACTTGCATGCACTAAGAAGATAACACTATAGGCTGAAACAATAAAATTTAAGCTTCAAAATAAACATAATGTTTTATCAGTAAAAGCACATTTACGTACTTTTAAAAACTAAATAACAATGGGGTTCTGGTTAGCCATACCCTTAAAAGGTAAAAGAATGAAGGCTAAAACAATTGTATTTCTTCAAAAGCCAAACAAATAAATTAGCTGGTGAAAAAAAAACTGCCTAAATGTAATTTATATGACATTTTTGTATAATACTTAAACTTGATTCTAATTCACTTGTTTTAAAGAATAACCTTTGACCTGTCAGCTTTTTAACCCTTGAAATATCTCTTTAAACTTTAAAGGAAACATTGATAATGAACGCCTGGCGCTCGCTAGACAGCGAATCCCCTATCGACTCGGTCGAGTAGTTGATGATTGGCTACTCGACAAAGGTAACCACGCCTCGATTAAACTTTTAACTTGTTAAACCAGACATAATTTTCATCATAACACCACTAATGTTTGTTTTAACCTTCTAAATGTTAAAGGCATAAACTTGCAACTAAAGTCTAATGCTATTTTCATTTAACGTTAACATAATTTGGTTTGTTTGCAGATTGGAACTAATGTTATTCTAAGGCACTCTTGGTAAACAGTAAACAGTTAAAGGGACCAAAATAGGTTAAGTTTTAAAAGAACAACAAAAATAATTTGACCATTTAAATGATAAAAGTGTACGTTCTGTGTTCAAAGTAGCGTCTAAAGTGATTTTAATGCACAACATTGTCCCTTTAACGTTTATTTAAGTTTTAAAATGACATTACTAAATATAAATGCATTTAAATGATTCCACTGTCCTGTTACATTTTATAAATCATTATCATTTAATAATTTTGTTTAATTATGCCCTAAACATGCCATTAAAATGTGCATAAAAAATACTGTATATTCCAAAAAAATTCCATTTGCATGTGTGCTAACATGTGCTTTGCCATTTCTTCATTTTCATATTGTTTATAATTTTCATTTTTAAAAACAAATCCAGAAGGCACAACATTTATAAAATCTGCTTTTATTTTTTAAAATATTCTTTAAAATATTGGGATTTTGAAAGTGCTTTGTACGTCGTCTAATTTTTACAATGTATGAATGATAAGTAGTCAACATTATCATTGGTTTTTTTTCTCAATAAAGCTAAACGTATACAACTATTAATCATAACATTCATGAATACTGTATATACATAAAAAATATATATATGTTTATTATAAATCAAAGTACAATTGTGGTTTAAAAAAACAACGTAACATCTCATTGAAGGAATAAGATTGTCCAATTATATCTCTTTTTGTGAGGATACATTCTTGAATATTATAAATAATAGTAACTCCACGAATTTGAAATGCATATTGGAATTTTAAATAAATGCAAGTACCTTATAGAACGAGAACTATCATGTTAACTTTTTTCAGTGAATGTAAAAAAAATGAGGATTGCATAATTTTGTTCTTTCATAAACATAAAAGTGAATTGACAAACATATAAAGGACCTTTTTGCCACAAAATGGGAAAAAAATACGTGTATCCACTCTCACTAAGTGCAAGATTTATTTACTCATTTCAAACCTCTTTGTTTCTATGCAGATTTATTTGATCATTCTGCAATAAATTGCTCTTTTTAGCATGTATTGTTGGCTTCATATCATGATGCATGATTTCTCAAACGATCAAGGGTAATAAATTCTAATGAACACGTGGGAGAAAAACTGTCAGTGTTGATCATTTTACATATACAAACAAAAAAACACGAGCATAGCTTTCATGAACAAAACACAATTTTATATTTCAGGCCGTCAACTTACAATCTTCAACAGCCAGGCCACAATCAAAATTGGCGGCAAAGACAACAACAAGCCATTCCAGGGCCAGCTCTCTGGAATCTACTACAATGGGCTCAAAGTGCTTCAGATGACAGCTGAGAATGACCCCAACATCAGGACGGAGGGCAATGTGCGGTTAGTGGGCGAGGTGCCCTCTGTCCTCACCACTGAGTCAACCGCCACGGCACTACCCACAGAGATGTCCACAACCATCATGGAGACGACAACCACCATGGCTACCACCACAACGCGCCGAGTACGCTCACCCACCACCCGCGACTCCCTCAGCTCGGTGCGTATCCACGTATGTATAATCACCAGTCCTCTGAGTCTTGCCTTTCTTCAATCACGTCTCCTCTTTTGTTTTTCCCCTTGGTTTCTTATTTAGCACTCAAATCCGTCACATTATTTGCCCTGCTAATTTTCTACACTCCTCGATGTGCGTTCAGCGTTACATTCATTTTCGGTTTGCTCTTCATCAGTGCTCGATGCTTTGAAACCAGAGGAGACGTGTCAGTAATGCAATTGCAGGCTTTGCTATAAATTGCAGGTCTTGTTTTTATTTATCTCAAAACGCAATGTTTCCTCCTTTAAAATATTTTCTTATCGTTAATATTTTAAACATTTTATATGCTGGATGTCCCACTGTTTTCTCACGTATGAGAGTCTTTTTTTCAATTAAAAAAGAAAATTAAAAAGATAAGGTTTTGCAGGTGGTGAGCACACTGCTCCATGAACCTAGCTACCTGTCAATCTGACATCAATTTCTGGTAATGGCTGACATATGTGGTGAGTGATATCTGAACTGGAGCTCTTCCTTCATCAACCTCCACTGACCATACCCTCGTTTACTGACACTGCATGTAAGCTAAACTAAATTTTGTATTTTATTTTACCAGGTAAGGCCAACTGACCGACCAGATTGTAAGATGCACCCCCAACTTTTGCTTCTAAAATTATGAAAAAAAGTGCATCTGGTAAACCTGTAACCAATGCAAAGATAATTTGAACAGTGCTGTGGTTCGAATGGGATATGTTTCATCCTATGCATTTTGCGACCTACACAGGGCCTGGAGGTGCTAATATGGAAAATAACCAAGGTTTAGCGTAACTATACCCAAGAAGCACTGCTGTTGCATTGGGTGGCTGTGTGCTTACTGCATTGGTATATGCGCGAGCATGTCCCACCTCCAGTAACCCTTTAGTTCCTGTTGCTCATACCATATTCGATCCATGACACCCTGACAAAACTCGGATATCTCATTTAGTGCAATGTGTACAATAAAACAAGTCTTCACAATTTTACACTAATTACATATTTCTACTATATTAACATGTACATTGAATGGCTTCACTTTATGAGGATTGTGAGCCCTGGTAAATGTCGATGCAGTGGCAATAATATTGTAATGGTTCCAAAGCAAAGACGAATATATAAATGTTTTTGAGACGTGAAAATGAGATTGCAAAGAAATGTGTGCGGGGTGTACTGGTTAACACACTTGCAATCCAGAGGTTGCCAGTCTAATTCCATCGCCTGGTGCAGCAGATGAAATAATGGGCACGTTATTTTAATCCCCCCATCGCTCCACTCCTCTGTGCACACCGGCAGTATAAAGGGATTAAGTTAGAAATGTGTGGTTTAAGATGTGGAGCAGAGATACAGTAACAACAAAATCAGAATGGTGCATGAATGAACAAATTTTTTAAAAAAAAATCGATTTTAATAAAGTATGTAATGATTTCCAGTCAGTAAGACATTCTGATTAAAATGATCCAAATTGTGTTTTTTGTTACTTAATAAAGAATACATTTATAATCACACTTACACTTCAGTCAATTAATTAGATGGACACAAGAGGGTATGTGTATATGTTGAACTTATTTCGCATTGCACGTAACCAACCGTGCAAATTGGAGGTGTGAGGTAGCATTAGCGTTAAATGGTTTTTAATGCCAAACGGATGGATGGTTGGAAAAATGGGTTGCCATGAAGAACAACAAATTTTGAGCAAAAGTTGTGAATGCAACACTTCCAAAAAGTTTATTTTAAAAAAAAGATTGACACTTTCATTCTGCCCTCTTTCATAATTTTACATGCACCATCTTCTTTGATTTTATATTATTGTTTTTCATACTTTTTGATGGTGTTAACATTTTGAGAAAAAAATTATGCGTTCCTTTTGACCCCAGAAAGCATTATCGGTATGCGGGGATAAATTCTATCAATGTGTAATTCAAGCTGAGGGGTTTAAATCAATACTCTGCCCATGTATTAATAATTCAGATTACTGGAATAGCTTTTGCTTGTAAAGGGAGCTTCAGAAGGTGCTGAGAAAGACTACAAGTAGCACAGGCGAGAGAGAGAGAATCGATTTGCACTGCTTCAGCATTTTGCGTGCTGTTAGCTAAGATCATAAATGACTTTGAATATAGAACAAGAAGCCTTTTATTCGTCTCACAATCCGATACACTTACACGGTATGTTAGTGTTTGTGCCAGTTCAATTAATTGCATTTTATATGCCCAGCAGTTCCACACGAATGGCTGTCTTTTAATACAGCGTGGTCAAACAATCACCCAAGACTGACACAGCATGGGCAAGACCTTCAGTAGTGGATTACAAAGGGCTATGCTTTTATTTATGAGTGCATAACCAACAATATGTTTCTAAAAAAATGTGTTAGAAGCGTCACAATTATCATTTAATGTATATACCGTGCCTCGCATGTGGTTCATCTCAGTGTGCCAGAAGAAATGGATGTATGCAATAACGACAAGGGAATCGCTTAGTAAGGCAGTGATTGCAGAACAATGTGGGGAAACAATGCAGCATGGACAATGTACGCGAACAAGAGTAAACAACTTAAAAGCTAAACTGTGCCTGAAATGACTCTATTTTTGTCCACTGCATTTGATGAAGTGGACATGCCACCACGGGGGTGCCATGATGGCGATATGTTAACTACCTTACTTGGTATACAGGAGATTGTGGGTTCGATCCCAAGTCTTGTGTATTTTGAGTTTGCATGTTCTCCCTGTGGTCGCATGGATTTTTCTCCGGGTCCTCCGGTTTTTCCCTCCACGTTTAGAAACTTGCTTTGAGAGTATTTGATTGTCATATATTTCCACGCGATAATCCACTTCGTTGACCTGCCGTTTGTGGCCAGGTCACTTCTGATAAAGAGCTATATACCTCAGTGGCCTTCCCTCCTGAAATAAACGATTATCTTAGTTTGATTTGTTCATATACTATCTGAAAAATTACGTCTTTAGTTTCGTCTTAAACTGCTGGATTTTTGGGTATGTAATTAATAATCACTGTCAAAGCTATAGAACGGAATTGACTAATCAAATCGGATTTCCATTAAAGGTGTGTTTAGGGAATGTTGATGGTCACCTATAGGGGCATATTGATAACATTACACCATATATTTAAGGCCCAAGACTGGAGTAGGTTTTCACAATTCTGGCAATCACCTAGTACCAAATTGTTAATGTTGTGGATTGCTCTCTAACAGAAATTCGCCTGCGTGTTCACGTGACAACTTTACGTGACAACTTTACTAATTTGTCTGTGCCAGGTGGAGGAGGGTGTATGACACATTGGCAATTTACTCAAACGATCTGACCTAAAAACCAAGTGTGAACCATATTGGGTGTGAAAGCCTACACTTGTTCAATTCACTGCAATCTCCGACAATTATCATACGATGTGAATGCACCCAATATAACCCCACGTAAAGGTTTATCTTGGCAGATTTGGGTGGCAGATAATTAAAGACAACCGTAAAGCACTTTACAGACCCGTGAATCATCACAAAATTGAGTTTGCCAACTGGTTTTAATTAAGGTACACATTTATTTGTGATTAAAAAAAATTTCATATTCACTGAGAATTGACCAAGCCACTTACAACCAGAGCAATAAGAAATGGTTTCAAATTGCTCGTAGTCACAATTGTATTGTGCATGAATTTATACACAAAATATTAAATACAAAAACTATCACAATTAGAATTGTTGGCATACAAATTCTACACATTCTTTGCTTCACAGTCTAACAGTTGACTTCAGTGCTACATTTTTGGCAAAGTAGGGTAAGAGTGACAATATTGAGCCTTAAAGCCACTGGAATCTTCATCAACTGCTGGATGAGGGCCTTCCAAAGGTGCCATAGTAGATTACATTTTCTCCAAACGTGACTCTTAACCAGTCATAATTGACTAATATAAGTGAATGTAAGATAAAGGACCTTTACTCAGAATACGAATGCAAATGCTCGGGAATGTTTCCGACAAAAATGATGCAATAGTTTTTGGCCAAGGTAGCTTCTCAGTTAAAATTACTCCTGTGAAGCCGCAATAATAAATGTGTATATATTGTTGTGGAACCAAATGAGTGTGCATGCAATGTATTTTAATGTTGTGAACACAAGTTAAAACTGTAATTTAGGATCTATTAACTGCTAGGTTTATGAAGTAATTTCCTTACATGTTTTTATTTTATATAAGCAAAAATGTACGTATTAATAATACACTGTATTGTTTATATTAATTGCAAAAATATGGAGTGATCAGATGTTTAACTCCAATTTTTTTGTAAAGACTGAATGCATATTTTTGGATAGAACAAAAATGTTACGGTGCAGCCCTGTAAATACTGGCTTTACTGTAAATACTGTTGGCATAAAGGCCACTACAGTGAGAGCTCTGGAGGGTAATTTGGGCCCACCTTCCATGCTGGCCAGACTTTACCCCCCACACCTTGCCAATCGACTAACCGTTTTGCACTATTGTATCCTGCTGGATTTTCAAACATAGCGCACTATGCAGACATTCAAGTAGAAGCAAATACTACGCAGGTGCTTAATAACAGTAATCAAGTTTTTCGAAGAGGATAACATTTGAAAAGGTTTATAAATGCATTTATAAAATATTTTTTTTTGCAATTCTTTCCCATAAACTAAATATATCAGTACTGGTAAGCTATGTAGTGAATGTAATTGCCAATTGGGGTTTTTTTTTTGTGAAATCATGTGAAGTGTCCTCAGGTGGACAGATGATGGATGAACGGACAGATGGATGGAGAGACAGACGTAATATTTCCTGGGCATGGCAATAAGTACACTGAAAAAAAAAAACGACAAAGAACTGTAATTCATGGGGGTATTGGCATTTCAAATGTGCAAGCAATATATTTAAATAGAAGCTTAATAATTCACATCGGCTCCAATGCAGTAATACAACTTAATGTATTTTTTTTTTACTTGGTGATTTTTTAATAATGGGATTGCTAGCGGCAA